AGAACATTCATAGTCTTATTTAGAAACCTTTCCGAAGCAGACAGCTTTGCTTCAGTACCACAGTCCTCTGAGCATTACAGACCTAATAGTTATACTAGCAATATAGGATTTCTGCTTAATTATAAAGACAAAGCATTGTATGATATCAGAGACCAAAAAAAAAACCCACCACACACTTTTCCCTACTGTAACCGAGCTACCTCACTGAAAACCAAAATTTCAGGCAGCCCGTGTGCTGTTAAAACCTGCTGAATCCATCGTGCTGAAAGTGGAAGATTTGCTGTTGATTGGATTATAACGTAAGTGAAACTTTATGAGTATTAATGATAAAGTGTGTTCTTATGGATAAAGGTAAATGAGTAGTCAGGGGGCACATTAGTTACTAACTTTTAAATGTAGATTATTTCTCCCAATGAAAAAGCAGAAATAATCCCCTTTAAACCTTGTTCAGTGTTAGTACTTGCTGGCTGACAGCAACATCTGTACACTTCCACTCCTGATATAGTGGAAGACATTACCACTCATATATATCCTATGTGGATCTGTCACATCATTTTGCCTTACATAAAAATATAGGCAATGGATTTAACAATTGTATATATTAACTACTGACCCTTCCGAGTCTATAACTCACAGCCCCATGTCACAGCTGGACAATAGAATGAGTGAATTTGCGTCAGACAGTAGCCAAGACATGAATAAAGCATTACCAGACAATTTAAATAACTCCTCTTTGAACTGTGTCCCAGCTCTGTCCCCTATCCACAGCTGTGAAAGCAACTTCCATGTGTCAAATTGGGAGCGTCTTTTGATGTAGACGGGAGATGGAAGGGTGGGAGTGCAGATCTTATGGATTATTGGCTGGACACATGAAAAATTCCCCATGGGAGACTTGTTCTGACTGCAAATCAATGAGCATACTACAGATAATGAGATTTATAGTGATGAGACTGCGTGCTACTGTAAAAGAAATACGCTGGTGGCTTTCTGCCAGTCAACCTGACCTTAAAGGGCATGCCACGCCATTCACATCATATGACATTAATGAAAAGCTTACGGAAAAAGAGAACTATCTGGCTAGGACTATGTGATAACTCACTCCAATCTCTCTATGTAAAACTCCTCAGCAACCATCACCCTCTTTCACTCCCTCCTCTTCATGCCCCTTTTTCTATGGTGTGACGGGGCGAACGGGCCCCACACTGAAAGGCTGGGAGTAGCCCAGGCCCAGCTGGCTGAAAGAGCCCCGCCCCTCCAGCTCTCCTGGGCATGCTCCCAGCAGAGCCAGCTTATAAAGGCAGAGGGATTCCAGCAAAGCGGGGGGCAGTTGGAGGGTAGAAGGGCCCAGGCCACAACCCCCGTGTTCCTGCAGCAGCTCAGGCCAGAGAGAGGGCCCGCACTGGACTCTGGGAGAGAAGCCGGCTGCCAACCCCACCTGAGGGACTGGACCCCCTACGCCCCCAGCCCCAGCCCCGGCCAGGAGCGTCGCTCAGGCGGACAGGCCATAGGGAGGCCAGGGTGGTAGGAAGCCGCCCACAGCAAGGGATTCATAACACCGCTCGGTGTGTATCGGCTGGATTCCCCACCGAGCAGGCAGGAGCAAGAGTCCCTGCCTACAGGGCCCTGGGCTGGGACCCGGTGGAGGAGGAGGGCCCGGGTCCTCCTACGACCCCCCTGCACCCTGGGGAATCACCCCAGCAAGGAGAGGCTTTTTCCCGGAGCTAGGCCTCTGGTACCGTGTATGCCCAGAGAGAGGGGCCTGGACTTTATACTGGGACTCTGGTACCATATAGGCCCTGAGAGATGGGCAAGGACTTTGTACTGGGACTCTAGTACCAGATATGCCCGGAGAGAGGGGCCAGGACTGAGACGCGGGACCCTAGAAGGGGGACACACCCCACATCAGGGGCATACACCGCGATATATGGGCTCTGTTTTTCCCCTTCCCTTTTTCATTTCCTTACCCAAGATTTTAAAAAGTGAGCAGAAAGGCATCGCAATTCACTAGCTATTTCTGAAAATCTCGGCCTGGCTGTCTCTCTTTTTCTCACCATTTGGATTCAAACCCAGGAACCTCACTTTACACAAGCTCCTATTCACTGTAAAGAGACCCCTCACGTAAGGAACAGTGGTAACACTAGGTCCTTAATTAGTCTAGGCCTTTGCTAAGCACCCACGCCTGCTAACACTTGAAGTCCTTTAATCGCATGAATACTTTTTATGGGATTACTCATGTATGTAGAGCTATGCGTGAGATTTAACGTTTAACGCTCACACCCTGAATCTGCAACCAGTCAGCAGAGAAAAACTACTAGTTAATATGTTACTTGCTAATCTTTCCTGGTTATAATGTAACTAGTATAGCAAATATATTCCTAAATTAACACAGAGGACATGCCTTGTGGGTTTGATCCTGTAGAGCTCTGAGCACCCCAAATTCCCACTGGCTTCCAAGGGTATGAAGGGCATTCAGTAAGCACTCAAAACTGGACTTTAAATGTCATATTGCAGTACATTAGTCATTCTGAAAAGGTTTTCAATCGCCTATTATGACTAAATAAGGTTACCTCAAGAGGGGCAATGCTCCTTGTGGAAAGAACTGGAAATTCTAGGTAACCTTATTAATTATTCATTGCAAAGCCCTGCTTTAAGGGCAACTGTGGTACATTTAAATTCTACGGTAAATACTCCTTTCATAGTATTGCATATCAGAGTTTTTAGCACCTGTATAACCAGGATAGGAAAAAGTAAATGTGCAAGCTAAGAGCTTTGGACAGCAGAAAAGTTTCCAAACAACAGACTTGCCCATCCTTCAAGGACTGCTTTAAAATGTTTTTTCCAGCAAAGATCCTGATTCAAACACTGGACACACGTTGCCCTATCCACCTGGCACTGAATGCAACATCAGGGCCTCTAAAATATTTGTCAGTATAAAGCAGTTTGGATTTTTGATCAACAAACAAAGCATTGTTTCATTGGGAGGTTAATGCAAGGGGAATAGCTCAACCACTGTGGTTGAGTTGGACTTGATTACAGTATTGCCTGTCTCTAGCATTCAAAAATGATTAAGCAGGCACCAAAAATTCATGACACTGGCTTAAAAATATGGAGGGGGGTGTTTGTTTTTTGGAAAATAATCCATTGGAAGTTCTTTTTTGGTGCTTGTTTTTGGACTTGCAGTGTTCATGCTTTCAAGCTTTTCTCTCTCACAATGCAGACTAGAAACTTTTTTTTAAATGAAAGCTGAGAATTTCGCCATCACATGACTCCAGGACCTGGGGTATAAAAACACCCATACCTATCAGACTTTCAGAGAAAGAGAACCAGCCCTGGGAGCTGCCGAAGGTGAATATTTCTGAAGATCAGGTTCTTTGTACTTTCAGATGATGGAAGGGCGAATGGAGTAGGCCTGCAGAGTTCAAAAATAAACCTTTTGGGGTCTGTGTGCAAAGTTGAAAGTAAATATTTTAAAAATGTAACATACTAGTCGTTTCTGAAGACACCGAAAATGACAGAAGCCTTTCATCACCAATACATTCCAAGAGATCCTTTTCTTAAAGAAAGTACTAGAAGCATTTCTAACTGAGGGAGACAGAGAAGCCATTACTTATAGTGATGAGATGGCAGAATGAATATGTGGGCTGGACAGGTTAATGCGGCATTACTCACAGGTGGTAAGTCCGAGGCATTAGGCATGACTGCGGGAAAGCAAACTGGATGTTTCTAATGGCCTCTCATTTCTCTTCAGTCTCCTGACCCTTATCAATGTCCTTTCTTAAACCAGACATTTTAAATGTCAGCTTAACCCCCCATCAGTAACAGCCCATTGCACTCTTTTATTCTGGAAATAATTAACCCTCTTTTGTGGGCTTTTTTTTTTTTTAAACAAGCTGTAGCTGTTTTGAGGAGGAGTGGCCAAAAAAAAAAAAAGTGCCCCGGTGTAGCAAAACATCCTGCAAAAATAAAAATCACATGCCAGGAATAGGGGAAGTGCTAGGGAAAGGTTGCTTTGTTCTCAGCTGGATTTCAATTCACGAAACGTGGGAGAACATGGCTCAGTCTCAAAGGGTTAATTTTTGGTGTTTAAAGCATATAACAAGGCACCGTGGTGGTTATTCATACATCTTTTTTAAGGATGCAATTAAAATTGTGGTCCTTTGATATAGGGAGAAAGGGGAACTATGGTGTGTGCAAACACGTCCTTGCAAATACCAGTGGAATCATGTTTTTTCAGCATTTGTACGCAGCACACATCTTCCTTGCAATACTATTATATAGTGTCAGAATAATTCCTTCACTCCAAGGTTGGCTTGGTCTCTCTCCTCCTTACCCAAGGATCTGTTTGCTCTCAGGTTGTGGTGGCAGGCTTCACTTATGCTTTCCATTTTACTGAAACCAAGACTTTTTTTTTTTTTTTAAATTCTCACCTAGCACTGTTCAGGAAGTTTGCCTAGCGTTTCCTTAAAAAAAACCCAAAAAACAAACCAAAAAAACCCATGAAAAATGTTGCTGGAGATAAAAGGGTTTTCATCACAGGGTTTTTCAAATATTTTCTGATTTTCTTCCAAATACTGAAAACCCCACTTTCAATGGGTTTGGGTTTGGCTGCTGAAAATGGACTAGGAAGATCTATTTTCTGGTTTTCCATGATGAAAATATGAACATATTTCATTAAAAATGTGTATGTCCCACCCAAACTTGTGCTTTTAATTAAAGGTCAGTTTTAAAGAGGAGAAAAAAAACACCAAGTAAAAGTCAGTTTCTCTAAAACCTTTTGAGAACTAGCTTGCCCAAAGTAGGAGACTCATCCCCCAGCACCAATCCCTACCATGTATGGCACTGTTGTTAGCCCCGATAATTCAGCCAAGCTGGCATGGAAATGTTGGGTAACATGCTCTATCAAGAGTGTAATCATAAAGGAAAAGACACTTATATTGCAACAATGGGACTAAAGTGGCACCTTAGTTATGGGGACTGCAGAAAAATATCTAAACACATACCCATGGTAATGATAAATAAAGGGATGGACCATCCCCACTTTCCAATGTTAACAGCGGAATACAGGTTCATGACAATCCAGGATTCCCATTGCAATGTACTGTTCTCTTGGGAGACGGTGAAGACAGTTAGGGGAGATAGGGAACATGGCTGACAAAAGCTCAGAAGGCCAAGGTTCACTGGGTGAAAGGTCACAGACATTCTTCTCTTCCTTTCAAAATTGCTTAGGGTACAAATTCTGTCCCCACCACCTAAGACATTGAAGTTCCAATACAAAGAGAACAGGTGTAGCTCTACCGGGGTGGGAAAATACATTATGTGTACAGAAGGTCAAGAGAATAGGGCTCATTTGTTTAAAAAAATGACAACACTGAAGTGACTCCAAAGCTCTGTGCCCTCTAGATCTTAGCTTCTAGCACGTCTTGCCTCTCATTTCTCTGATTAAAAAATGCCACTTTTGGAAAATGAGATCTTATTTTCGCACTCATAGTCTCAGGCTCTGATTGCCAAGTTTGATAACATAATTTTCAGCTTTAAATGGCCAACCTAGCACATAAAAATCATTGCCAATAACAACCAGAAAATCGGTTTGGATTACACAATAAGTATTCTTGGCAATTATTTGTGATAATCACGTATCAAGCTGGTACAATTTCACAAACAAAGAGATCTCATGCAGAGCTAGGAATAACACTTTTAAAGAAACCTAATATGCAAGCAGAGCTAAGAATTGCAAACAATATTTGAGGGTTGAACTAAGTGAACATAATATGTAGATGCTAGAACAGCGAAATACATGTTAGATTACACTAATCATCAATTTTCCTGGAAGACAAAAGGAGCAAGGAGCAACACACTAATGTTGCAGTTCTGATGGCTAAGAGTTTTCTTTCACTAGGATCATGGCTTCTATAATTATCTAAGCAATTACGCAAACAGGGCCTTCTGCAAAACAAAATATCTGATGTTAAGTCATCCTACACACTTGATTTTCAAGTCAAGGTGTAAAAGTATAAAGTTAGAAAAGAATTCCCAAATGTACATGGCTCCCTCATTTTCCACCACTTTAGAATTTCTTCTTCTTGTGTCCTGTTGTTTGGTCCATCTTCTTTGGTCAGGTAGGCTTACCGGAATGGCGGGGCTAGAGTAAGTGTGACCATCACCATCTTGGCGGATGTTGTGGATTGAACTAGGCAAAGCTTGTGAGTCTCTATCACCTAAGCTGGAGAGACATGTCTCAGGTTGAGAGCTGTAACAGGCTCCTATCCTTTGTGGGTCCAGCAGAGAAGGGTGTGAATCACACACAATATGACCAATGGTTTCATAAGCCCATTTACAGACCCCAACAAGCAGAGAGAGATTGCCCTAAAGGTTTTGTTTCTAAAACTGTTTCTGCATTCTTTGGACACTCCAATAGGGTAAAACAGCCGCACAGCTTCACAAGGGAATACTCTGGTGGCACTGAGCTAGTGTAAATTCACCCCATCTCCTCCCCTTTCCTACTGGCCAATGGGGCATAGCTAGTGCACCCTCCCTTGGACTCATCCTCATGCAACCACAGTTTCGGCACCGGGGCTGGGGAATGCTGGCACCTGGAACCCAGTATGGAGCATATTGAGAGCTCCTGGAATTTATCGGAGGATCTGGGCTGGATCCTTTGTCCATGAATCAGGGACAACAATGGTGACAAAGTCTCTTTTACACCTCCCTGGGCTTGTTACCCAGTCCTAAGACCCTGATCCAATTGTGGAATAGTTTCTTTCACCTGCAGTGGCTATTGTGGAAGGAGATACTGTTTTTCTGCTAGGCAGCCAGGACACTAGCCACATAACCATACGAATTTTTTTTCCTTTTAATATTCTTTCTTTTCCTTTTACCCAATAAAGACTCTTTGTTGTTTATCAACTCCATAATGGGGTGGAAATGCCTCACTTACTTTTAAGTGATAGAAATGTAGCTGTGTTAGTCTGGGGTAGCTGAAGCAAAAGGCAGGAAAATGTAGCACTTTAAAGACTAACAAGATGGTTTATTAGATGATGAGCTTCCTCAGATCTGAGGAAGTGGGTCTGGCCCACGAAAGCTCATCACCTAATAAACCATCTTGTTAGTCTTTAAAGTGCTACATTTTCCTGCAAGTAACTCTCTACATTGTATACACAAAGTAGGAAAAAAAAGATGCCTCAAATGAACAAATCTCATTTTTATTTAGCTGGTTTTTGTAGTTCTCTCTCCTCATCCCGATCCATCCATGTGACAAAAAATTGGGTTCCTGATCCCACTTTCATAGAACCCTGGAATACTAAAACTGGAAGGGACATCGAGAGATCATCAAGTTTAGTCCTCTGCCCTCATGGCACAACCAAGCACCATCTAAGACCACCCCTGACAGGTGTCTGTCTAACCTGTTCGTATAAATCTCCAGTGATGGAGATTCCACAACCTTCCTGGGCAATGTATTCCAGTGTTTATCCACCCTGAAAGTTAGGAAGTTTTTCCTAATTTCCAACCTAAAATGCCCTTGCTGCAATTTAAGCCCATTGCTTCTTGTCCTATCCTCCCAGATTAAGTAGAATCATTTTTCTCCCTCCTTTTTGTAACAACCTTTTAGATACTTGAAAGTTGCTATGTCTCCAGTCTTCTCTTTTGCAAGCTAAACAAACCCAATTCTTTCAATCTTGTCTCTCAGTCTAGCCTGCACTGCTTGCCCACAGTTTCGACTACTCAAGGAATGGTGAACCATGGCCATAGAGCAGCCATGCCTGTCGACAATCAAATAAACAAAGTGCCTGACAGCCAGCTAATGGCTTACGCTTACAAGTCGCATCCCAGAGTTTTAAAACCCCTGGTCTAGAAAGTGTTTTCAGGGAGATTTCTCCTGGTAAAAGAAAAGCTACTAAGAAAAGCCTGTTGACTTCATGGTGCATTTTGAAAGTTTCATAAAGACTATTGGCAATGGCAATTTTACTATGATCAAAGATTATCTTTCACTGAGCACCCTCGGATCTCAAAGATCACAAGGGCATGCGTATAAATAAAATTTGCCTAATGTGCAAAGTTGACATCTTTCCCTCTTTGCTGAGCTGATCATTCATCATTCAGATAGTGCAACCTTTATATATGATTAAGCATGTTTACTTATCTGGCATAAATACAACTATAACTTACTCTCCATTCAACACATTTAAATGTGTAAATTCAATGCCATGAATCTGTCAACATTGTCTTTTAAAATTTAATATAGATATTTCTCTGTAATTCTAGTCTGCAAAATGGGAAAAAAATCCTAACATTCTCCCCGCTAATGCTGCTCGAGGCTTATTACATCAAAACACCTCAGATTCTGCGTGGATTCATCAGAATTATGCTGAAAACGACAACTGATAAAAAGATTAAGAAAAACTGTGCAGTACGAGTGTCATTTACGTTATGTCAACGAGCTTTCACTCTAGAAAAGTCTCTCTCAAAGTGAGCCAGGGGGCCCGCTTTGGGAAAGCCACTAGCACATGGCTGGGCAAAATGTGGTCGGAGAGCCAGATCTGGCCCTCTAACACGTGGCTCCAGCCTGCAGACTGCATCTGGCCGCTTTCGATTTATATCCTGCTGCTCGTGCCACCGAGTTTCCAGGCAGTGACTCAAACAGCAGGATCTGATTTAAATGTCTCGCTGCTCCCAGTCGCGGTGCTATCCTGTGCGTGGCCGGAGCTGCGAGCCCTTTACATAGCCGCAGCAACCCCGGTCGTCTGCCAAGCAACGCAGTAGTGGGTCAAGAGCCCTTTAAATAGCTGCAATTTCAAGGGCTCCCTGTCCTGCCGCTACTGCATTGCCTGGGAGTCGCCCAAGTTTGCTGAGGCTATTTTAGAGGGCTCCTGGTAACAGCTCCACCCTGACTACGCTTTAACTAGACGTAGTAACCCTGGGCAGTTGCCAGGCCGCGCGGTAGTGGCAGAACTGGGAGCCACGAACCCTTTGCTGTGTTTTTTAATTCAAAGCATCTCCCCCCAGACAATTCTGGGGGGCGGCTAGCTCCAGCCCCGCCCCTTAAACCCCAGGCCCTGCTCCTTCTGGCGTGAGGTGGGGGGCAGGGAGGAGCCAGCCCATGACCACGTATCAAAATTCTTTATGTGGTCCCCTTTGAAAATGATTGCCTCCTCCCCCACACATTAGCAGGCCAGTGCCATTTTGTTTACCTAAAGCATCCACAGTCACTGAGTCTCACGGCTCCAGTTCCCTGTTTCCAGCCAGGGGAAGATGGGAGAAGGGGCCGTTGCCCACTCTGAGAAACACTGTTCGGGAACATGTCTACTCTACTGAGTCCAGTCAGCATTAGTGTGCCCCGGAGTTGTTTGCCTGAGAATGTGCTGCTGCCTATATAGTAGCCAAACTTTGAACGCTCAGTCTGGACCCAAGCCATCAGGCCTTCTGGGCTCCTTCAGCTGTGACCTCAGAAGAGCTAATCTTGCAAACTGTAATTATTTACAAGTAGCAGTGGTAATAGTTTACAATATAAACATAGGCCCTTACCAATATAGAGACCTCATTGAGTGAGGCACTGTATACACATGTAGTCCCTGTCCAATAGAGGTTACCATCTGCATTAACAAGACAAATGATGGGAGGAATGAAGCACTATTACCCCATTTTACAGCTGGAGGCCTGAAGCACAAGCTGGTTAAGTGACTTGCCCATGGTCACTCAGGAAATCTGTGGCAGAGCTGGGATGTAAACTCAGACCTTTGGGGGTATTTAAATGCCCTAAAACCTTGAGTACCTCATACACTTTGTATTTACCCTCACAAAACCTCTGTGACCTAAGGGAGTATCATTCCCATTTGAGACCTAGTCTCCACACGGTTCTTTACCATACAGATGTGTCAGTTAGGGGTGTGACTATGTACTAAGTGACACTACTTTTCTACAACCCTGAGCATGGACACATACTGATATAAAGGTTATTATACTGGGACAGGTTATTGCCTTCCTGTATGGAAATAGAATACTATATAGTATAAAGGTACTTGTACTGGAATAGCTTGTTTCCAAACAAAAAGGACAACCAACTGTATTGGTGTGGGGCACCTTCATACCAGTACCTCTTTCTCCATATCTAAGGATATGGGCTACTTTAACTATACCACCACTGTTAAAGAGATGAGCAAGCTCGTTTAGATAAGGAATGGAGGCAGCAAGAAATCGACTTGTCCACCATCACAAAGCAGCAGCAGAGCCAGAAACTGAACCAAACACTGAATTATGGTTTACACTGAGAGGAAATATATATTTTTTAAAGATGCACTTGCTTTCTCTTCTACGATTGGGGCATTTTTATGTATTTATTTAGAAACCACAGCTATGTAGGTTTATGTAACTGCCATGATAGGTCAAATGGAAAATTTAGCAGATCAGGTTCAATCACCCATCTAGGATGATAAAAGACTCCCCGTGTAACATGAAATGCACTTAAAAAGCTGAGCCACCAAAAGAAAAAAAAAAAGCCCCCAAAACAGATGTGCAATGATACTTAATTTTAGGATCTGCACTTGTGCTCAGCAGGGAGCTTATTGTGAGTGCTCTGGTAGTGCTGTGTAGCAAACATGTGAACCGGCTCAGTGGATAACATGACTCCCTTGAATTTAGCTCAGTTTTCCATTGAATACCAGTGAAAGTCAACATTAGTGAATAGCCATATTGACATTTTTATATTAAAAAAAGCTAACCCCACAGATGGCCTATCTTCCCACCCAACAATATAAAAGGAATCACGTTTATGTGAAGCATCGTCGGTATTTCTGCATCCATCCATGAAAAATTCTTCCTTGACAACCTCTCAAGGTTCCTTCCAGCCCTGCCTTTCTGTGATTCTATGACACAGTGTTGGCTGTCAGAGCTAATTATTAATATAAATGGTGCAAGTGCATTGGATCCTGCAACATAAGCTGGTGTTCCAAGTTTCCCTCTCACTTGCAGTCTGTGCAGTTTGGGGGCAGCGCGGCTTGTTACTGCAAGACAAAAATCAGAGCTAAAAGGATATGGCAGAACTCCACGCT